GACGCGGCTATCGATACCGCCACCCCTTGTGTACATGCCGTGCGGCGGCTGTGTACCGCGAAGCGACAAAGTTCATACCGTCAATCTCGCTTCTTCCCTAAAAACGCGTCTCACCGGCCACCTACCGCCGTTTCGCTCGCACCGAGCCAACGGAGCGTAGTCCGAAGATCCGAGCGCAGACGGCGGGAGATACCTAAAGATCCGTCTTCGACGTTACGCCGCTGCCGGCGGTTGGGGGTGGCGGACAGGGGCGTCGCCAGCGGGGAGCTGGTGGTGGCGGGGGATGGAAAAGCGCGGGGACCGTGCGGGGGTCGAAGCTTCGAGTCTGCAGAGCGTGCACCTCCCTTACCCCATCCGCGCGGGGGGTGGGTGGACGGGTGGCACCGGCTCCTCGAACTGATCAATACCTGAAACACCGCGAGGTATCGTCCCGCTATTTCCGGTGTCCCAGCGCGGCCGGAAATGAAGGCGTTAAAAATATACTCCAGATAGCGCGCGCCGGTATTATATCCTCTCCGGTACAGGTGCCCTCAATAGTGACGAAGAGGCCGATCCCCCGGCGAGAGACGTTTCGCGATGGAGGCACGTAGACCGCGGCGAGTAAGTCACAGCACTTGCTGCCGAGCTCGTGACTTCGATGAGGACGGACGAAGGCCGGAGTGAATAAACGGTCAACGGTTTTAACTATCTTCTATCGGAGGTGACGATCTCGTAGGAGTCAGTCCGAGAGAGAAAGTCGCAGTCGGCCTGTCTTCCCTCGTGGCGGCGAAGGTAACTGCGGCTGCGGCATTTTGCTGTGGAATCCAGGCAGAACAGGAAATCACGATGACGTCAGGATGACGAGAAAACGAACTGTAAATAAAAATGAATAAAATGAATTTCTGAGTCATTTTCTCGTCATTTTGACATCACTTTGATACGTTATCGTGATTTCCTGTTTCATCTGGGAAGAAGATGATTTCGTCATTAATGAAGAACCGTCCTTCCAACGACTTTATGTCTTTTCTAACATTACAGAATCATTGATAGTTTTTTTTTAATCGTTTTTCATTCGTTTCATTCGTTTTACATATATATACATTACATATACCTATTTATTACATTCGCCTATTTTCCAGGTAAAATAAAAATCACGATATCAAAGACGAGAAAATTATTGTAAAGGCTCAACTTTCTATCATGATTCAATCATTTTCTCGTTATTTTGATGTCATCGTGGTTTTCTGTTCTGCCTAGTTTCTCGCCCTAAAGACTTCGTGCAGCACCTACGGTCGTTGCGAACCTTCAACACGTTATTTTAGAAATCGCTCATGTTCATTAAGATAAAGCTATGTCGCTGCATGCAGTTGCCTTATATTAAAAGAAGAAAATGATTTAACTGAAATTATAGTTACTTTTGGCCTCAAACATATTTTTGATTGATCTAACACAGAATGGTAGTAGCAACGTGCATATAAGGTTATTATCACTGATATTGTAGTAGAATTGAATAAAAAGTAGCTTTCTTCGCCATAATTTATAGTAATCATTTCTCTATGTGATGATAGTTACAAATGCCAAACACTTTTTCTCAGGTTATGCTGTTTCGATGATGAGCTTGTGGCCAAGTGGTTGAGATGATCGTTATTGGCGCGTACTGTACGCTCTCGGGGGCGAAGTCTCTTTATCTGCGAGGGCCCGGCCTGATCGACTTTTAATTATAGCTATCTGCTACCTGGTTCGCTGGTGCTCGGCGCGCAAGGGTGAGCGCGAGGAATCGGCGCGCCGAGATGATCGATCCCGAAGCCATTCTCGCGGCTGGAATCTTCATTTCGCGGTGGTTACTGCATATAGCGCGAATTCGATATTGCGTGAATATTCACAACCACTATCGCGCACCCAATTGTGTAGATTAAAGTACGGCTTGCAGCCGAGGGAAAGCTTGATAGCTCGTTAGAAAATTACATAATTATCAGAGAAATCAGGATGTGTGAGAAATTGAAAATAAATTTTAAATATTATAAGGTTAAAATATAACCATTAAATTAATTTTATTCATTACATAGTATAAAGTATTAAGAGAGTATTGAGTCGGTTTTATTTATTATCACAAGTTTAGCTTTGCTAAACTGCCTGGGATCGGCTGCAAACTTTTGACAGTTTGACTCGCATCTATGAATTGCACAAAAAAAGATCGCAACATTTTATTCTTGACGGACTAATATTATTCCATACAATATAAATGTCTAAAAGATATGTTAGAGACGTCTGAAAGGTATCCCACTTGTTTTAAATGTCTTCAGGATGTCTCTAAGGCATATTTTAGACATTCGTGCTATTTGGGACGTATCCAGTAAGTAAAGTATTCATTCTAAAAAGATCTTAATGACACACAAATGTTTCCAGACCGAAACATTTATGTGTCATTAAGATAGAGATAATACATCTAAGATAAATAATCGTCCTTCATAAAGTTATTTAGCGCTTTAAATTCTAACGCATAGCTCCTTCCTTTTCAATTTTTAATTATATATCATAGAACCTCTCTCTAGTTCATGCTAAGTCAATTTTATTTCTTAATTTCACTAATTTCTATATTTTATTTATCATTGTTAAGCAATTCGATTGCATGATTATATCTCAATGACATTGGGTTCTATTTAAACTAATCACAAGCAATTACAATTAGCGTGGTTTTATCACTTGCGTGTCGCGCGACAAATATACACACCCCTTCGCGAATACAGGCCCGACGAAATCGTCTCAGATCACATTTCGTTTGTCGGGTGCGCCTTTGAATCTTGACGCCGCTAAAATCCTAATTCAGCCAGTAAAATGAGTTGTCGCATTGTCTTTCTGACGACTCGTGACATCACGACGCCCTGAGTTCGCGTATAGAGGTTGCATAGGTGACTCGCTCGAAAAATTGCGGATATCTGTTGAGCAGGAGGGCGTGACTACGAGTTCAACGTGAAACTCCGGATTTGCGAAATCGTGGCGAAGGGGTTGGTTTAGTATCAACAGGTAGAACACGTTCTCTCTTCCCCACCGGATAAACCCCGGGCTAAGCGCCGGCGCTGGCTAAACCTCTTACACCCTCCTGAGGGTGTGACCTACCCTCTCTATTGGCCCGGCCGGACGTGTGAAAAAGAGAGCGAGTCAGTCCTGCGCGGATAAAGTCTTTTTAAAACTCTCTATTCGAGGGTGGAGCTTCGTCCGAGCTTTCCCGTCATATAAAACTGCAATTCACACGCATAATCAGCTCTCTTCACAAGAATGCGCGATTATTTTAGATATCCTTGTGCATTTTAAATTGTTGTATCTACCACTGTGATTAATTCAACAATGTTAACTTTTTTAGACATGACTCTATTCAACCGTAATAAGTGCACACATCGAAACAAGTTTTGCACCACGTTACTTTCTCTCTCCCTCCATCTTCCCCTCTCTCTCTCTCTCTCTTTCTCTTTCTCTCTTGTATTTTTCAGCACTGAGATATCGGTATCATTAATCTTTCTCACTAGACAATTTGTCTGACTTGTCTTGTTGCTAAGACCTTACTTATAAATCTCAGTGCTCTTTTCTGTTTACTATAATCGCTATTTTCCGCTGCGATTTTTCACACACCAAAGCATAAATCGCGTGCAAATTCTTTAAAGCTTTTTACGAAGATATCGACGATAACGAGTCACTTGTGTCACACGTTGTAATCAGTCGGCGTATTACATGGAAGTACAATACACATACGACGAACCCTTGCATCACTGACCTGATCCTCCATGTCGGTAAAAAGAAGTCGCAGATATGGTCTTGTCGGATTGAGAGGAAACGATGAAAAAAGATCGTAATGCGGCGACAGAAGGGCGAAGAGAAGGGGAAAATATCCGCATGGGTCAGCCGAGAGAGGCTTAGACCGCGGAGATGCCCGCTTCAATATCGGCTTTCGGGATACTCGAGATATTTATCTAATGTCTTACATTTTCCACGGCACTGCCCATTCAAATTTCCATTCATGTCTCCTCCATGGAAAACCCGTTTCCCTGGATTGTGCCGCTTGCAAACGACGAAGCCCTCCGATCCGTGCCCAAGCTCGTTGAAATATCCGCGTCTTGATAATTCAGCCGGGCTGATCGATAATGAGAAACTTACAAGATTAACGGCTGGAATACGAAGCATAGTCAGGTAAATTTAACGAATTGCTTTCCAAATACGAGTTACCTCGTAATTGACGTGCGACAAAAATTCTCTATTCCAAGTGTTAGCTACGAGTTAACTCAGGTACAGGTTTCTCTTTGGTGAGTATTTTTTGTTGAATAACATAATTACTTATTATATACAGAAAATATTAGTCTCCCCTTAAAACTAATATACTCGAATTAACAATCATTGTTTTACATCACATCTCACTAATTACGAAAAATTATTACCAAATTTATTTTCCTTCTCTTGGATGATGATTATCTTCAAAGAATATTTTCTTGATAATAGTCTCAAAATATACTCATAGCAAATTTTCAAAAAGTTCATTGTCGTGTACTCAGAAAAGAAAAATTTATTTTTTCTCACAAAAATATTACAAATCCTTAGAAAAAGTTAATTTGACTCTTTGTGTATGTAGTAAGTAAATAAAACTTTTATTCTAATAAAATATTCTCGCTTGGAATGCTAAGCTTATCAGGATTCCGAATGTATTATGAATAAATCTGATGCTTATGATGAACTTATATAATAGATCTACGGATATAGTATAAATTTACGAAATACTTGAGCGCAAGTAACATTTGCTTGAATGCAGTATGCATTTTTCTGCATGGAGCCTGGTGTTGTCTGCCTTGCTGCGGACGCACGCGAAGTGCACCACACAGTCAGATGGCAAGTGCATTCACCGTTCTATCTTTCCCCGATTTTTCTCCTATCGCGCAGAATAACGCGCTCGACACCTCGGCACCGCAGCGGCCGAGTTATCTTACGGAGATATCGCACGGCGTGCCCTGCGTTACTTATCAAAGATAACTGCTCAGTACTTACAGAGCTGCTCGTGGAACCGGTCCGCTCAGTCATCGATTAGCCCAGAGCTATTTTCGGCGATCACTTCGTCCACACGTTTTAACTTCGCGTAATACCAACGATGACACCGCGCGATCGGAAGTTCACCGTTGCGGTCCCGATCACGGCGATCTCGGAGTGAATCATAGCCGCGAGAATGTGGATGCCGTGCGTTTACTCTGCCTGACTCGGCACGGTGGTGAGAAAAGAACATGGAGAAACGATCGATAACACGTCAATGCCGTCTCGTTTTGTCGCTCGTCACGTGGGCGGCAATTTTGCCGATCGCGGGCTGCCAAAGCGTCTGCCCCACCAGGTGTTTGTGCTATCTCAATCAAGCGCCCAGGAGCATCGTGTGCTCGAAACAAGGATTGCAGACATTCCCCGAAAATATCAGTGATATTGTGAGTCTGCTTGGTATTTTCATATTATTATTTCCTCTTGTTTTAATACCTTGTCACTCTCAAACGCAATCTAGTCTAATCTTGAATATACTAGTTACTAATTACTAGCATACCGTTTCTGAATCTTATCGCGTCAGTAAACTGAAGTAACACGGTGCATCGTTGAGAATCGTAAAGAAAAAATACGCCCGATTGGGGCAAATATGTCACTACGTCGATTAAAGATCTCGCAGCTGTTGGTATATGATGTTTAAATTCAATATTAACCAAAATGTTTCAAGTGTTACGCTTTCTACAACCTATCGCGTTTCATTTCAACTAACATATTCTTGATTAATAAACCTCTATTTGTAATAAGTGTTTTGTGCACTAATTAAGATTAATCCTTTCCAGGTCGAACACTTGGACTTGTCGAGCAATCTCTTAACCGAGGTCAGCGAGGATGTGAATCGATTAACCGAGCTATTATACCTGAACTTGGCCAAAAATCGCCTCACTTCTCTGCCAAGTGATCTTGAACAGTTGGAAAAGCTTCAGAGACTAGATCTATCGGAGAACCGTATCGCATCCGTAGCAAATATTGCTTCTATTAGCCAACTACCATCTCTGGTGTTTCTATACATTTCAAGGAATCAATTACCTGCTCTAGAAGGGTTGACCAGCGATGTACTTCGGGTGATCGACGCAAGTCGCTGCCGTATGTATAAAGAAAATTGTAGATATTAAATATTTATTGCTGCCTGAGTCTTTTCAACGGAACTCATCTCACCGGCGGTCTTTAGAGCCATCGTCTAGAGCGATGAGTTTATCACTAGTATATTTAGGTCGGTATTCATAGTCAGATCTTATATTTAAGACCGTCTTAAGTTTATCTTCAGATGATAAACGGTTTATTTCATTGGCTACGGAATATCTAAAGATGAACTTAAGACAGCCTTAAAAATAAGACTATGCGTACCGGCCTTACAGTTAAACTTGATAATTTATATTGATAATTTCTTTTCTGGTAAGTTTATTCGCTCGAATAAATTTGTTTCGTACTGAGATCTGTACAGATCTGTAGCACTAAACGTTTGTGAACTGTAGTTATAAAAGAACTAGGTAACGCGTCCTTGAGTGGACTGTCAGCGCTGACCAATTTGAACCTAGCGGGAAATCCATTGGGGTACATCAGGAAACCTATCAGTGCGACACTGAGATCGTTGGACATGTCTGATTGCAACTTGAATATCCTAGATCCAGATACTTTCGTCGGACTCTCCGAATTAGAAGAGTTACGATTGGTCAATAATCCTGCACTGGTGTATTGCACTCGGTAATGAGAATTATATGTAACTATCACTGTGACTAAGTATATTTATAATTAATTTACAAATGGAACTATGTGCTCGTTTATATTAGAAGTAAGTCAGAGAAGTTCTATACAGTAAGTTGCATGATACTTTTTAGTAGTCTATATAGTAACACAGCACGCTCCGTCTTATGAATTACGGGAGATTTTTCAAGTCACTTCATTGTAGGTACACGACCATACAGCACGCGAAGCTCAAGAGATTCGACGTATCGAGATGTAGACTCGACAGACCCGGGCTCCACGGCCTCCCGTCGTTAACGTACGCTCGTCTTTCTCATAACGCAATTAGCATGCTACCGAATCGCATTTTCGCCAAGAACAAACAGCTGACGCAGTTGTACATGGACGTGAACCATTTGCAGAATGTAAATACCAGCAGCTTCGAAGGCTTGACGAAGCTCCAGATATTAGATCTGTCCATGAACGGCATCAATTATATACACGAGTTAGCATTGCACGATAATATAATTCTCAAAGTTCTGAATCTTTCTTACAACGAACTGCAGACAGTACCGAGACTAACGACGACCGCTATGTCGTTGGATGTGTCTTTCAATAAGATTAGCAAACTCAGAGCAAACTGTCTGGAGAACATGCCCAGAATCAGGAATCTGTATTTGAAGAATAACGAAATGCAGGTGTTGCCGCGTCATTTAACAGCGGCGACTTTGCGAATACTGGACTTGCAAAGGAACAGACTTGTGGGATTGCACAATAAAAGTTTCACTGATTTACCATCATTGCGACAGATTGACTTGTCAGGTACTAAACTTTAGACGTACATCTACACGAAAACTGAAACAATTTGGAAGAAACGTCCGATTTTATGAAACTTATTTGTTAATATAAGATATAAACAAACTAAAATAAAAAATTCAATTAAATTTCTAATTTTATTTGAAAATTTTAATTAGATTTGTAATTTTATCTCTTTATGCAATTATTTTATTCCTAATTTAAATTAAATTTTACTTATATCTAAATCAGAATTAAATTTTCAGTGATATCAATTATTGAGATCGATACTTTGAAATTTATTTCTTCCTGCAATAACGGTTTTCATTTTCTATACGGAGAAAGTATTGCAGTAAAAAATATTACAAAATTTTTGTAATCTTGAATCGTATAGAATTATAACTAAAATTTTATATATTTGTTTAAAAATGTTACGTGCATTTAACTTTTTATTGCAAATTATTGTAATTGTTTGAATGTTTTTGTATCTTATATTCGGTAAATCGTTAAATATATTTATTACTTTTATAGTATCTTACGCTACATATACAATTTCGGCACAAGTTCAGCTTTACAAAAGCGTTACGAAGAGAAATATAATTTCAGCATAATTTTATATTTAATAAGCTTTCAGCAAGCATAATTTTTAAATACGACAGTATTTTCTTCGTGCACCTTATATAAGCTTCAATAAAGTTATGTTCGAAAGATCACGATTCATTATATCAATCGTTTAATCCGCAGGTAACCGTTTGACGGAAGCGATAAACCCCGACATATTTGAAAACAATCCGTCATTGTCCTTGGTACTCTTGGAGGATAATCCATGGCGATGCGACTGTGCGCAACTCTACGTGACTTACCAGTTTCTGACAGATCCTCCTCCGAGAACGGCAGGATCCACTCTGCTTTGCCAGAGCCCGGCGAACGTATCCGGCTACTCGTGGGAAGCCGCGTGTTTCGACGTTTGGAACGATTACTTGCGTCCTAGTCCGCACAACGCTACTTGGAGAGTAGTTGTGATCGGCATACTCATTGCGTTTGTCCTGTTTGGCAGTGTGGTGTCCATCAGATACACCATAAAGATGAAAAGAAGAGCCAACGAGCACAGGCGGCAACTCGAGAGAATACACGTGGAAGCCATCGAGAGATCGCGATTTGCACAAACAAGGTGAGGGATCTTTCGAATGATTAATCGCCGAGTTTGTATGAAAATTACATAAAGACGCTTCACCTCATGTCATCTCGTACGTAATCGATACGTATATTACGGGTGGTCTCTCGATGACCTTACGTTGCGTAACACAAAATTAACGTTTCAACGATTCGATGCATCCCGTGGCGACTCTCACATTTTTCAAGAAACGTAATTGCATTATTCTGTGCATTAGTGGGCTTTGTAATTGAGAAAACTGCGCCTGGTAAAACGAGCACCTATCTGCAACAGATAAAACAGGTACCCATTCTACCCGTTAGAACCGCAACCGACTACAGCACAGATTTATATTACAATTTCGTAAGCTGGTACATGCAATCTTTGCAAGTGATAAAGAGGAAGCTTACCGACGTGTGGCTGTCTTTCTAAAGTTTAGTGAGACGCGCGCGGATGCCACGAATAGATTTAAACTATATCGCAAGGATATCTCTATTTCTTCATCCTTAATGTAAATCACATAATTATTGATATCCTTTTTAATCATTGGCATTCTAGGAAAACCTAGAAAAACCTTGAAAGACCTAAAAAAACCAGCAAAACTCTAAAAAACCTGGTTTTTCGTGCGACCAATATTACAATTAAGTTTCTTATAGGCATTCTCTATGATCCAAAAGAAATCTACACAGCTGAAATTGCGAACTAATATCGCTAATCGTAAAAAAGAACCAGGTTTTTCTAGAATGCCAATGACTAAGAAGGATGCCAATAATTGTGAGATTTATTCCAACCTATAATTCTCTATTCGCTAATAAACGTTTTACATGCAATAAACAACTTGATCGTTAAAATTCTTGTTTTCTCGCGGCGATCTTGTTTTATGACATCAGAAGCGGGAAAATGTACGCTAAAAATTTTTGCAAAGTAGATTGGAATCAAATGATATGTTCACAAAATGACGCAATTGACCGAGCAGGACCTATTCTTAAAATTTTTGAGTATACGTATATTTTCATTGCACAGCTATTTTAAAGTATGATTAAACCTACGCAGTAAAACTTACGTATACGAAACTATTTCAAGAATAAGGACCCAGACCTGTAAAATAGTCTAAACACTTTTATTTTGACAATACACAGCAATACTGTTTTGATCTACACAGCTGAAATTGCAAACTAATATCGCTAATCGTAAAAAAGAACCAGATTTTTCTAGAATGCCAATGACTAAAAAGGATGCCAATAATTGTGAGGTTTATTCTAACCTATAATTCTCTATTCGCTAATAACGTTTCACCCGCAATAAACAACTTGATCATTAAAATTCTTGTTTTCTCGCGGCAACTATAGTCAATGAATAATCGTAAAATGAATGCGATAAAATCATGAAGAAATATAGGTTAAAAAGATAAATTGCATGTCACATACAGACACACGTTGGTTCTACGGTAATTTATTGATTGTTAGAACAAGAGGAAATTAGGGACAATTTTAGAGATCTACTCGATCGATTACATGTGTCATCTTATGGATACATCTTTGTATTATTCCGCAAGAATTTTTGACATGCTTTTTCTCATATCTACGTTATCGATAAAGAGTTCCGCGACAAGAGACCCAGAAGCCTTAATCGCGAGAACAGTTGGACGAAATCAATCGAGGGCATCGCGAATATATTTTCAGAAATCAACGCGTGAGCGAAGATCTCCAAGAGCACTTGGAGCGCTCGGAGCGTCCGCCGGAGCCCAGAATTCATCCTCTGGAAATTATCGGTCCGCCTACTTACGAAGAGGCAGTCCATATGCCCAGAATGGTGCATTCCATGGACGCACTGAACGAGATCGTCGTCGAAAACAGCAGCATGAATGTTATTATGGGATCCGTGGATAACCTGCGGATGAAGAAGAGGAGAGCGCGGCGACCCAGAAAACGAACCCAGAGCGAGGACGATCTCCTCAGAAGAGAGGAACGTCGGCATGTGCGGCTTCGAAGGGAGAGGAACTCCATCGGCTATATCCTCGACGTGGATCAGCCGCAGAACAATACGAATCCCAATAAGAATCCAAGGAGCATGCGCAGGTCCAGGAGACACAGCGTCGCGGACGAGTCCATCGAGTCCAGCAGCAGCAGGGACAGGCCAAGGCCGCAGACGCCCAACTCGAGGAAGAGAAAGAGGAAACTGATGATCAGAAACGAACATGTGACCGACGACGAGGACTCCGACATGCCGACATTGGGTTCCAGCAAATCCGTCGTCATCAAGGAGCTCAAACGAGAACCCAGAAGCGGCTATAGAGAATCAGTCGCGAGACACGAGTCTTGACATTTGGACTGTCTTCAGCATGTATATTCTGTGAGCGCAATAAGTTACGATATATTTAATATAACTTGAATGGTTTCATTTAAATTGTTCCGAGTAACGACCGTGTAATTTTTCCTTAGGGCAGAAATGGAAAAACTGAAAAGTTTCATGTTAATTCGACGATTTTAGCGATCATGTAATTTCTCAAACTGTAGGAGTCTGTGAAACTTTTCACGTGAACTTGTTTACCTTGAAAGCTAACGGTGAAAAGATGGGAATTAAATGAAAAATTAGGTATTTTTAGATGTTGATATAGTATATTCTCATTAATATTCATGAAACAGAGTAATGTTCATGGCTGTTTGTAACCTTTTTCAAAAACAAGTAATACGGCATTCCAATTCAACACATTTCATTTATCATATCATTTTGTTTAAAGATATTGAATACCGACATATGCAATTTCATATTTTGCACTGTTTATCTAATAAAAAATTTTTTTAAATTTGTTACATCGGTTATATAGGATATTTATGTAGGATTCGTCATATAAAACATTTGTATTTTCATCCTGCATAAGCATTTGCTATTAAACAAATAGACAACAAAACAAAAAAACATGTTGATTTATCTTGCCAGAAGCGAGAAAATATACGCTTAAAAGCAAAAATACATAAAAATAAAAAGATATATTCATAAAATGACATTTACATTTTACAGATATATATATATATATATATATATATATATATATATATATATATATATATATATAT